CACACACACACACACACACACACACACACACACACACACACACACACACACCAATACAAAAACGCCCACTCACAAAAGTCTCACTAGCAAGTCAGACTGAAGCCCAAGCTGAAGGAGAAGAAAGCGGTGCCCTGCATTATGTGGAAGTAGGAATTTTGTTAATAAATGATAGAAAAAGTCATAAAAGTATATATGTACGTTCGCATTTTAGGCTCATTACCGTAATCTAAACCTTACACTTGAAACCTGTTCATTAGACACAGCTTTAATAACGATAATTTGATTTAACGATAATTTGATTAGCCCCGTGTTCCAATAATATTGGAGAAATCATTCAAAAGCTATATCTCCCAAGTACTATGGTGAATACAGCGAGCACGTAGGCGTACGGGGTTCGAATCTCAGGATGAGAAGAAAAAATACGATACATCTTTATTGTCTAGACACTGGCACCTTGGTGTTTCACCGCGTACACACATACACTCACGCACACACGCGCAAACACACAAACATGCACACATACGCAGTGTGCTTGCACGTGCAAACGGGCATACAGTCAAATACATAATATAAATGAACAATAATATAAACAATATTAATGTTAAGCTAGAACTAGATACTTATTCAGTGTTCTGATTATAACTCAATGGTATTCTGATGTATGCTAAAAGGTCGTAAGAATACTTATAACAGGATGGAAGAAATTTGATGGATGATGGTAAGAATGACCTTCTGTATCTTAAGGAAGGCTCTGATGGGAGTTGTGTACCCTCCTCCACATGGAATGTATATTTTACTTTACATACTTTTTTACCTGAGATGGCGGGTTCAGCCATGCAAACAAAATTGAGTTTAGTGAGCTGTTTATCGCCCCTATCCCCAAAAATAACCACCAAATAAACAGGAAACAACTGCAGAAAAGACTAAAATAACTCCAACCAACAGACCAACCAACCAACCTAACAACAACCTAGGAAAACAAATTAAAAGCTCCCCCCCCCTACCCGCCCCCAACACTCAGCCGCCCAACTCCAAGATGATTTTTAAAAATACCCCCCCCCCCCCCCGCCCCCCCCCCCCTCTTGATTTCAGCTTCTAAAAATGAAAGTGAAAGAGGGAGAGGATGAGATAAAGAAGATCAACACTAAACTCAAGTAAGTCTGAAGAAATGTTGTGTTGCTCTCAAAGTAAAAGCTACATAGCCTAGTGGTTAGGCTCTCGGACTCGCAACCGTAAGGTCGTGGGTTCGAATCCCGTCAAGGGCCCGACGTTGTGTCCTTGGGAAAGGCACTTTACACGAATTTTCCTCACTTCACCCAGGTGGGAATGGGTACCCGGCTATAGACAGCGAACGATCTTGTCAGTTTGTTAGTGTTTGAGCGCTTAATCGGCTGCTCGCACTGTATGCTTCCCGGGAAGCTGAGAATGTTTCGGAGTGTTCTATGGTCTGCTGGGGTAATAATATAGTGTAAAGCGCATAGAGCCTGCTGCTGAGCGGGGATGTGCGCTATACAAATGCTATCTATTATTATTATTATTATTATGATTTCGAAATCAGCTAACAGATGTCACTGATTGCAACACTCCTATCGACATACGTAGAAATTCTTGTGGAGTTGGCTCTCATCGATCTTTGCCTGTCAAGACCAACCATTGACTGTGACATAGCTCTTGTTCGCCATACATCCCAACATTCGACTATTTGAGACGAAATGAAGGGAAATAAGGGGAAGTGCAGAGGCGGTTTGTTAACTGGGCAAGACCGGCGGTGCCGGTCAGATTTTTGTCAACTAAACTGTTGACTAGAGGTTTATTGCTGATGACGATTTTCATTCAGTTTTAAGTAAATCCAAACAAACATGTATCAACATTCAAAAGCACCTTGCCGATTTGAAGGCGCTCAAATAGACAAATGGGATTCACTGTTGTTTTGTCGCGACATAACCTCATTCCTTCACGTTTGTTATCGCGCCGGCTCGTAACTTTAAATCGTCTCCCGTCAAACCGTCACGTCGCGGAACTTCGTACTACGTGCGAGGCCAAACACACGGCAGGCTTGGCTTAGGCCTAGCGAGGACGTCAGTCCCATGGCCAAATCCACAGTCAGTCCACAGAAAGATTAGTCTATCCCTTAATTGTCAGATTGGCCTCTTTGTAGCTTACAAAATTAAGAATGAGACTGTCTTGAGCAGCACAGACACATGTATTATTTTATCAGCAAAACATGTATTTATCATTCAGTCTTTCTCTAACTACTATCAGAACATTTATTGTTAGCATGGCACTACTATTTTTTGTTTATTGACTTTTTAACCACCTATAGTTCCTGTTTGGTATTTACTCATCGTTTTCTCCCCACTAATAATTTACCTGGCCCTTAGGAGTCTGGCCGGCGAAAGAAGGAATCGTCTAGTGAAGATATATAAGGAAAATTTTAACGAGAAGCGATAGACACTCGGCTGTCAGAGTCTGGGCCGAAAACCCCCTCCCTTCCCTACTCTTTTCAACCCTCACCCCAGCTAGACACCAAGCTCTATAATTAGCATTTGGCACATTTCCCCACTTTGTTACAACACAGTGTTCAGTGTTCAGTTCTAAGAACTGAGAAGTGCGATGAAGTACATTTGATGACATAATGATCGGAAACTTGTGTGCTTTGTCCAGCTTTGTATAGCATCTGATTGTAGACTTGATCTGCTTGGGACAGCGTCACTGGTACAGTAGCAATTGACTTTTTGTCATCCTACAGAGCAGTTCTTATTATATTTAACGGGTCCAGTGCACGTCGATATTTTGTATGGGGATGTAGAAAGTACAAGTAAAGTACTGTACTGGAGGCCAGGACAAGCGGTTTATTGCTTCTCACTTTCAGTTTGTTTTCTAGCTTAGACTCAAGTAGTGTGTTTATTTTTCTGTGCCGATCAAGTGAGTTTCTATTAATCTCAGTAACTTCCATCTTACATTATTCATAATATTGTTTCTTGAGGCTACCGCATATTTTAGCTCTTTCACATTATATTATGTTTACTGTGGTGTGTGTGTGCGTGTGTGTGTGTGTGTGTGTGTGTGTGTGTGTGTGTGTGTGTGTGTGTGTGTGTGTGTGTGTGTGTGTGTGTGTGTGTGAGTGGGGGAGGGGGTGGTGATGGCGAAAGTAGCGGTATAAAATAAGGAGAGAGAGAAAGAGAGAGAGAGAAGGAGAGAGAGAGAGAGAAAGAGAGAGAAAGAGCATGTGTGTGTGTGTGTGTGCGTGCGTGTGTGTGTGTATGTGTGTGTCTGTATGTGTGTGTGTGCGAGAGTGTGTGTGTGTGTGTGTGTGTGTGTGTGTGTGTGTGTGTGTGTGTTGTGAAGGAAGGGGGTGGGGGAGGGAAAATAGTCGACGTGAATGACCGCTGTCAGTTCCATAAACCACGAGCCGCCACTGGGGAAGTGTAACAGTATTATGGTTATAGCCTAATGTTTTGGCTGATTAATAGAAGCCAAGGGAAACTATTGTTCATGCTTGATGAGAGCTCTTCCATAAAAGAGTCATTGCACTTGGTGCGTGGCGGCTGATCAACATGCGCGGTGGTGTTTTGTGTCATGTGTCTGTGGTCTATCCTGTTTGATATCGACAATCCCCACGAGAACATGTGATTTAGGGGATTGGGAAGAAAGGTCTCTAAGAGTTCACCAGGTGATAGGGTTGCTAGACAAAGAAGTGTCTCAGAAATTGCAACTGGAACAAAATCTAATTTAGGCTACAGCCGTAGGTACAGCTCCACATAATCAATTAGTCAAAACACAACCCAGTACTCAGCGGCGTACAACAATGGGTGCTGTGCACTCAGATAGATCGAGAGCAAAATTTTCAAGAGGACATCATTCTTCCCAACTTTCTCAGTTTCACTAGCTCGGCAAAGCCCAGAGTTATAATAAAGAATCTAGCAGTGGAGAGAACTCTTACATGTCCGAAACTAACAAGTGTGGAAATTGTGGTTGTAAACATAACAAGGATAAAACGTGTCCTGCCAAAGGTAAACTCCGTTATAACTGAAAGAAACTAACATTTATTTGCGTCTGTCTGTAGGTCATAGCCCACGTAGTAATTAATGACGAAGAAGTCTTCAGTCTCGGTTCGATTAATCGCAAGTGTTCATATCCACAGCCACCTTAGAGCTTCTCCTTTGTCATAATTTTGTAGTCGAAAGACGGTCTTCAAAATAGACACGGGTGCAGACGTTTCAGTCATTTCCAGATTAAAGTTTGATCAACTGTCACCTAAACTTCAGCTCTCCACATCTCGAGCTCTTTTAATTAGCCCAGGGGGAGTTATCAAGATAGAAGGGGAGTTTCAAGCCACAGCTCAGTCTAAGGAGTTAACCTACAATTGCAGGCGGACACTGAAAATCTTCTCAATAAGGGTGTAGCGGTATGTCTTAGTCTTATCCTACGTTTAGACTCAGTTATCCCTGGAGTCAAGTATAGAATTAATAATCTATTGTTTGCTGAACTTAATAGGAGGTTTAATAAGTCAGGTACAAGCCTGTGCACATTACTTTGACAGAGTACAGTCAGCCATACTCAGTTCAAAAAGCCCGCCTTGTTCCAATTCCATTTCTATAGAAAGTCAAGGCAGAATTGCCAGCGTCTACAAGATGCAGGGGTGATATGAAAAATACAGCAACCAACCTCATTGGTGTCCGCCAATAGTACCTGTTTTGAAGAAATCTGAGATGTTCGAATATGTACATATTTAAACAATTAAACAAAACCGTGAAAAGAGAGAGGTGTGCCTTGCCTCCGTTGGAAGATATTCTCCATAAACGTCTAGGAGCGACTGTTTTTAGCTAGCTGGATGCAGCATCTGGATTCTTTCAGATTCGTCTAGACGACGAGTCAGCAAAGGTCACTACGTTTGCCAACGTCTGCCACAAGAGATCACGTCTGCGCCAAAGAGTTTTCAGCGAACAGTTGAAGGATTCTTGAACCAGTACTCCAACTTTCTGATGACATCTTAGTTTTCAGCAGAGACGAGACCGAACGCAATATCCACCTGAGAGAGGTCATGGCCAGGCTTAGAGACGCTGGTCTGAAGTTTAAACACTCAAAAGGTGAATTCTTCAAGAAAGAAATCGAATTCTCAGGGTACAAAATCAGTGGCAAAGGAGTGAGCATTCTACCTTCCAAGGTAGAGGCTATTGTAGACTTTCTTAACCAGCTGATGTTCAAAAGCTCTTACGCTTCATGGGCATCATGGTCAGCTTTTTGGGGCGTCACCTTCCCCACCTGTCAACGACTGTGCAGCCTCTAACTCATCTTCTTGAGAAGCAGACTGCGTGGATCTGGGAACCGTCACAAATGGGAGATGTCGCCAAGATCAAAGAATTGATCACATCTGCACCTACCTTGGTCTTCTTTACTTACTTTTACTTATTTACTTTTTCATCCACTGTTGCCGTTAAGCGTCGATGGGAGATGAAGCGTTCTATGGTAGGCCAGCTCAGAGCTCGCTCAGTTTTGATTTTATGTTTTCTCAGGGTTCCCTTGACACCTTTGATCGACCTTTTGCGTGGCCTTCCTCTTCCTTTATAGCCTGATTCTTTGACCCATCAAAATCTTATATAGTGAGCTCAGACGCCAGTAGCTATGGTGTACTCCTACAGCAACAAGACGACGACTCAGTGCGACCAGCGACACACGCTGTCCACATGCGCAAACAGAAGGAAAAGCCTAGCAACTGTCTGGGCTTGCGAGCGTTTTGATTGTTACCTTGTTGGACCGCCTTGAGACAGATCACAAGCAATTTGTACCCCTGATAAACACAAAAGATATACAGGACTCTTCACTCCGTTGTCAGCGTATATTGATTCTATTGGCACCCTTTAACATACAAGCCCAATACACTCGGGGAAAGAAAATGTACGTTGCAGACATGTTGTCCACAAATCCTTTACGCCAGGAAAACAGCCAGGCAGCTACACTAGCATGTCATTATGGCCTGTGAATACACCATGATCGGGTGGCCAGCTTACAAAAGTAAGGTAGCAGCAAGGTTTTTTTTTTCCATTTCGTAGTAAACCAAGTGTTCACGATGTAATACTTACCAAGGGAGACAGGCTGGTGATTCCTCTGTCTATGCAGAAATAAGTCTTAGACAAGATTCATGAGGGTCACA